GAAATAATATAAAAAATGTATGAATCTCTACTGTAATATTAAAAATAATAATATTAATAAAAAAAAATCACAAATAAGAAATCAAGAAAATATTAACCAGGGAACAAATATCACTATAAAAAGTACCTCAATACAGCCATCTAAAATGTTAGAAGTTGTAATAAAGAGTTAACTGTACGATCCAAATAATACATATGATTATATTTCATACATAAAACGCATTATCAAACAAATATACATTTTTCAATTATTTATTATTTATCAACTATATTGACCAAATATTCAATACAAAATTTTTCAATAGAAATAACGTATTGATTACTTTTTTAAGAAATTCAAATCTACCTATTCTTAAATCATTTTATGTAAATATATTTCTTCAAAAGTTTCAATAAAATTAAAAGTAATAATATTTTTTTTTATTTTTTTATAATTCGTGTATTAGGTAAAATTTTTAATTTTCAATATAAATACATTTTTTATTTTTCATAATAAAATTTAAAAAAAATTGATGTTTCCGCCCGGGATCGAACCGGGGACCTTCTGCGTGTTAGGCAGATGTGATAACCGCTACACCACGGAAACTATACCGTCTTTCTCAATTTTGACTATTTTTTACACCAGACAAAACATCTCAGCGTTCATTCCTTTCTGCTAATAACTTCCGAGGTACCAGTTCAAAAGTTATTATCAACTAGTTATTAGATTAGTTACATTATTTTATATTATATGAGCTGGTTAAATATATATGTTGCTATTAAAAAAAATTAAATCGTTACCCTCATAAGGGACAAGGGAATAGATAATAAAAGTATTTAACCACTTAAAAATTGAGAAATAAATACTACTGAAAAAGCCAAAAAATAATCTCAAAATTACTATAATTTTAAAAAGAAATTTTGGATTATGATTTGATAAAGAATAAATTTAAAAAGTTCTTTATGATTAATAAATAAGAAATAAATGAAACTAGAAATTAAAAAAAAATTTAAACAGTTCAGATAAAATTTAATAACTTAAAATGTATAACGTGTATTATTTATTTCACATATTATCTATCATTTCTGGTTTACTGTTATTATGTCAACGATTTATTATGGTTTATTGAATCTAACGCGTTTCCATATCTTCTTAAATTTTGTGTATGTCTATTACTTTTTAATAGCTATGCATTTCTACGGCTCATTAAATTTTATACATTTTTAGTATTTTAAAATTTTTGCATATCTTTAGCTTTTTAAATTTTTCATTTTGAATCTAAATTATAATAAAAAATATTATGATATTCTATATGGTCTAAATATTGATGATTCTCCAGAGCTGGTTATATAAAAGAATTGATTTATACTTTTAATACTGTAATGTTTTTTTTTTTATAAGAATTAAAAGGCGCTATATTGAGTTGACTCATTATAAAATATATATAATTAAAGAAACCGTTACATTGAATTTGATCGCTTAAATTTTTACTGCATACGATACGCGGAAAAAGTCAGTTGATCCAAATAATGCAACTAAAAATATAAAATAGTAGATATGTCATAAAATTCAATGGGATTTGTAAAATATAATAAAAAAGTCACAATGTATTTCATTTTAAAAATATTTAATAATACCGTGTTAAATCCACGTGGTTTTCGTAAATGTTATAATGCAATAATTGAAAGAGTTCGTTAAAAAAATGTAATAAAGCAATAAGCCTCATATTTTTTCGTGTTTATACTGAGTAATAAATTATTTTATACAGATAAACGTTCAAGTATTAAAAAGTTTAATCATGTCACACTACTTTTATTTCGTTAACGATTACAGATGAATTATTCTATAAATTATTAATATTATCATTATATTGAGGATTATTTCTAAATATATAAATCTTAATAATGCAATACGTCAAACAAGTACAGGTCAATTAATGTAATAAATTACTTAAGAAGTTAAACAGCAAGAAAAAATGCTTAAAACTTTAAAATCACTAGTATAGTTTTCTATATTTAGAAACAATAAAAAATTATAATAGATACTCATTAGTACCTATTTTCGTTAAAAAATTTAACTTAATTTAATAAAAATAATTTCCATTATTGGATTTTATAAAATCCAATACCAGCCACGTACATTTTATTAAAAAATATTTTATTTACAAACGTGATTATTGTTATCAAAATACAAAATTCAGTAAATAGTGTAACAAATCACCCGCATATTTTAATGCAAATATTATGTCATTTTATCACTAATGGAATTTTTGCTTACTATGATTTGATTACCACCCGCTGTAATACATCTTACTATAATAAACTGTATAATAATATAAAGTCTAAATATATTAGCTGCTGCATAAATCAAAAAACCTATTCTATAAGTACTATAAGGAAAAATTTGTTTTAAGAATTTTTATGCGAACCACAATTATATATGATCACGAAAATTACTGCTTGTTTACTGGACTTTTCGTTTTGAAACAATTTAATTACTAGAAAATATCAACCGATATCATTAATTACTTTGAGGCAACACGAAGAGAAACTATACATTTTGAATTGTTGACATTTAATCAATAAAAATTAGAGTAGTATGGAATTTTAATTGTACTAAATCAAATTTTTTTTAACAAATGTAACTTTAAATCGGATTTAAAGACAAAGGTGACTTAAAAATAAATGATTGAAAATGATATTTTATTAAATAAATCTATTAAAATGCGTCATCAATTCAAATAAACCAAAGTAAGAAATAAAATGTGTTCAATTATTAATTTTTATTTTTCTCACACTTACGGTGGCATTAAATTGACATGTAAGCCGATAACACGATGAACTTATGTGCACATGGAACTAAGATTCTATAATTAATATAAAATCTATGTATTAATATATTTGAGAAGAATAGACCATTACGTGTTATATCTAGTTTATCTGATTTTAGGATTTTCATGTATGATTTTTAAACATCACCTTTATAATAGGTAAATAAAAAACAGTGCAGATGGGCAGCAAAAAAAACATTTACAACTACCATTGAAGCGTATAATTTTTGTGAATTTTATTTGTCGGATTACGTATGCTAATGACAAGTTGAAATTGCTCAATAAATAGCTAATATGTAATTTTCTAGGACCCCTAGCGGCTGGTATACTAGTAGCTTAGGTATACACTTAAAGCATTTGAAACGCGTACGTTTGCCGCCTCCGAGACTATTGGTACGGTAGTTATCTCGTGTGCACATAAACTATAATATTTAGACATACTTCTCCGTATAATTTCCTTTTTAAGTAGCTGTACACGACTATAATATCATAGAAATGTGGTTACACGTATCTGAATGCTGCCCCGCGACTTCATATGAGGCGGTTGTAAACGGTTTAATATCGTCATCGTCAAATCGTTGTGGTTTCATTGAGGAAACACTATGTTAATAAATTGAAATGACAGTAAAGTTGGAAAATATAATAATGGGTACACACATTTCGCCTCATAATTTTTACATTACTTACGGTATTTATATTTTACAAAAATGTGTGACGATCCAAATAAACTTGTAGAATACTAGCGATCGGTTTAACATTTTTACTGGCACTCGAATACAACTTGTTCATAAATCGAATGATAGTTCGAGTGGTAAACACATAATTACAACCATTACTGAAATACCAATCGTTACTTTCCAATTGAAGTATTGTTGTTTTAAGTTGTATTAAAACAATATAAATAACGGACAAAATGAAATAATAACAATATACTCTTTACAAAGGTATTTATATGTTTGCTTTGTAATCCTATCATACAATATAAGTACCACATTGATGTACAAAAAATAATAAAATCTTTAAAACTGTACCATTTCCACATAATAATAAGTTTTAATACAATTATTATTTGAAGATCTATACAATTTAATAACTGTATTTTTAATTGAATTTTCTCACACAAAACTATTCTTAAATCAATGGTACTCATCAAATAAAATTAAATTGAGTTTATTTAATTGCTTATAACACAAAAATAATTTTTATTTATAATAAATTTAATAACTTAAAAATGATTACTATATAGCTAAATGCAGTAGATTTTCCTATTATTCTTTTAAAAAATATATATATATTTAGATACAAATTCTTTAAACATAATTCACAGTGTTTTAGAAAAATGACAGTAGAGACGTCAGAAATATGATTATTGCACTTTCATCCTAGTCATTAGATAATTTTAACATGATTATTGAATGTAAATATTGCACTCGCATGATAATCATATTTGTTGTTTAATAAACGTATTATATAATAATCAATTTACTCGAATAATATTCCACGACAAAGAAAAACGAAAATCTTGTAATACAGTTTTTATGACTTTGAATATTTAAACAAATACTCAATTATTGTCACAGTCGAATGAACTTGTAAGTTAGCTCAAAGAAAACTTACAATATAACTAATGAAAATTATCACTTTTAATTATCACGATACATTAAATTTGTAAATATTATAGAAGTTGTACGTACTATGATAAACATAACTATATTTTATTTCTTTCTTTAACTTGTTTTGGCCATTCCATGAAATGTAATATATTACACATTTTTACTTCGATGTTACAATAATATTTATATAAAAATTAGTTTTCTGTAATACTGATGTATAATTTTTTACAACATAAAAATAATGACGAACAATATCTCCTTCAATGAAAAATATTGTTAGAATGTTAAAATAAATAAAATTATGTTCGGATTTAATAATTAATAAACGCAGTTTTTGATTACTCAACAACCAGTTCAAGTTCAAGCTAATTATTTAAATTACATAGGATTTTACGTGAGTTATGGGACGATAACAATATTTAAATATTAATTGAAAGGTATCTAATTTATGCGCAGATTTTTAATTTAATAACAAACGAGGCATATCGAATACAATTTAATGATTATAAATATACAATCGAGTAAGTTTATGAAGTAATAGTTTTTTAATGGTTCTAAAGGACAAACATACCGTTCTTGATGAAGTATTTTATATACAAGCTAACTTTGTAATCGATGATTTGACTTGACGGAATATTCGTATACAATTATTGCGTTAATTAAAATTACAATGCGTTTAATGCTCGAGAACACGTATTAATTCGTAAAAAGGCTAACAAGATTGTGAATGAACGTGCTTAGAATTTTCAGGAATTGATCACAGTGTTCATATGTTTTACGCGAAAGTAAAAAATTAACTATGAAACGAATTTAATAGAAGAGTGTTAACCATTATTTGTACCTAAAATGTTGTAGTTACTTTGTATAGGGGTGCAAAGGTGTCTTTAAAGGGTGGTGCTTGGTACCAGCAGCAATAACGTACTCAAGAGGCGCGAAGAGGCAATGTGAAACCCCAGGTGACTTTGTGTGTAACCGCAGGCAGCAAGTAGCCTAAAACAGAATTCACACTTGATCGATGAAATCAAAATGTACACCACAAGTAAATGTTTTCATTATTATATATGGGCCGTACCCCGAGGGCCACTACACATTATTTTTATTATTATTCCTCAATATCGTTTCGATTGCCTCGCTAAACATCTGCCATGATTAACCATTGTTAACAAATAAGAAGTCAAACAATTTATTTATTCGGTATAGCGGACCGGCCGTCGCTTCCAACTAATGTAAAATAACTAATGTTAAATACTATTACGATGGTAAAACGAGTTTTTCAATCATATTGATATTATTGGATAACCACAAGTTGTTGATTGCATTGTATTATTATACCTTTTAAAACCGAGACCATTGATATATTATTTATGTATCGGTAACTCGGGTTCGACGTGTATTACGGTTAAATACCATAAAAAAACCGTATATTGTAGTAAATCGTTTCGAGTCGTTCGTTCCTAATTACATACATCGGTTTTTTCTGGTGAGTGATGAACGAAGCAACCCTCAACGCCTTTTAATACATTACGACAAATATGAACTAATTTTTTCACTTTTCACGGATAGTTATTTGCCGACCAGATAATTTACATAATTTTCGAACGAAAAATTAATGTTTTTATGATAAACCGTTTTCAATAAATTTGTTTAGTCAAATCAATAGAGAATTGCTGCTGTTTATTTAAAAAATAGTAATCATGTTTCTCAGCTTATTATTGCCAACTTTATTTATTATGTCCGTTGTAACGTTTGTAGTAGTACGAGATAGTTCTCGTATATAATCGTACAAATAAGCATACAAATTAAAAGATAATGGTTATTGTGTCTTGGCAGCCAATCGAATATGCAGCATTTAAGTATAAGCCAAGATAACGACGATCCAGTGCGAGTTATAATAAATTACTTAAAACGAAGCACATTGTTTTTATTACAACCGATGACCGTAAATTAAATTAAATAATGTAAAGTCGGTCGATTCACTTCGGAGGCGTTAAAAAAGAATAAAAGAAACAAATAACAGACTCGCTTTAAATATAATATTTTATTGTTTTTACATTCTTCTCTTTCTTTTTCGCGTCTTGTTCTTTAACAATAATTTCGTATAGCAATGATGTGTGCCAGCAAATAGACGAGAGAGAGGCTATAAAAGGTATCCCGACCCGAGGCAAGACCAAGATAATTGCCCAATGATTTACCACCCCTAGTACGCGATAAGTGCTTGGAAAACACCGAAACACATTATGAATTTCGCCGCCGCCTAGTCTCTTGTTTTCTTGTCCTTTGGTGGTATTATTGGTTTTGTACGATATCTCGTTAAAAAAACGTTTCGCGTCTAAAACCGTTGCTAACCAATATAAATGTTAATCCGGACGATTATTGTTGTTGTACAATCCCGTCTCGACCACCTTTCACAAAAAACAATTCGAACATAATTTGACGGTCAATAATTACACCAATAGATTATCACCACCTATAACATGAAGTAAGAGTGTGCAATTTACTTTTCATGCTAATAAGTCTGAGAAATTTGCACTCTAAGTGTCACTATAAATTAAAACGAAATTATCGGAGCCCTCGAACAACTAATAAATCATTGAATCTAATGCCATGGATGCGAATACCGGTGATAACACATACGAGACAATCATAATAGATACAATCGATAACGTCTTATAGATACTGCTAATTGGTGCTAACAGAAATTTTGAAGAGAGATGAATATTTTTCGAACACGGGGATCATAGTAGGAGTATTACACGCGTGTATGGTCCAGGACGGTATTCTTCTGTTAGTAATATGAATACTAAGACTATTTATCAAACGAGTCGTGCCTGAGTAAATTATCTCAGTTGACAGGTAGTTATAATAAACCTATAACTAGCTGGGGAGACGTGGCAGCTTCGAACTTCGGCCGACGTACCACTTGACTATCATTATCCAAGTGGTTGTTGTGGTTTTTTTTTAATTGTTTTTTTATTTGTTCCGACTAGTAAGATTTACGACACGAATGCCTTGGACTTTATGTCGTCTGCCCAAGGGCTGCTGCTGCTGCGTTGTTGCTATTATGAGATGGGTAAGTGTACAATGAGGTATCGCTACTCTACGCGTTAACTCTCCAATTTTAGTCTAAATGTATACATTTTCCAGAGTTACTTTAGAGTAGCCACCGGCATCATAACACTCGCATTAAGCCGACTATCTCATTAGAAGTGAATTCATCACATCTAAAACGGTACTTATAGCCATGCGATGATAGTACATAATGATCGAGACTAAACAAGAAAAACACTGTAATTGCATGATCAATACCCACTCGACAACTTTTTCAATATTATGAAGACATCGGAGGCTGAAATTATTTAACAAGATGTGTTCTTAATTTCGTTTTTAGGTGGGTCGTTCATTGCATCGTCCGCTTTCTATGGCCACTAATGACTTTAGTGTAGGAACAGCAAATACACTTGACGTCGTATAGTGTGTTGCCATTTGAGTGCACTTTTTGATTTTGGAAAATAACAACTGACAATGAATGTATTAATAATTAAAACCATGGGCAACATGTACAAATTGAAAATCTCACGTTGTGCTGTAAAAACCGTAAATTCTTCGCAAGTAAATATTTAACTCAAATGTCCTTTAAATTTATATTGAACAATTGGATATCGGGCAAACCAAAAATATTAACATTTTATAAATTCAATTTTAATAGAAAAAAATTGCTGAATTTTGTATAAATTTCTTAAATATTTTTCATTAGATGTGAATTATATATTTTAAATCAAAGATAATGTTGTTAACCTTTATTTACACAAAACTGTTCCATTAATCAACGTTTTAGTGATCAACCATAAAATATATGACCAATATTTATATTTATTTGCAAAATTTTAGAACAATGAAAAAATTTACTTAAACGAGAGTTGCATATTTCGTAACGGTTTACATTTGTATTTAATTAGACGTTATTTCATAAAATTCCTATTTCTATAGAAATATTGATTTATTTTTATAAAATAAGGTTTATAAATTGTTATTTTACTCGCTCAATAAGTAAATTCAAAGTGAACACCAAAAGGGTACTTACCGTTAAAGCTAGCGTTAAGATTTTTTTTAAAACCATATTATGCAAGAGTAGTTAATGAAAAAAATTAATCTAAGAATCTTGGTAAATAAACTTTTTAAAGAGCCACATAAAACCTTTTATCGTCTAACTGATTAATGTTAATCTCATTCGTCATATGACAATAAACGCTGTGTTTGTAATTTCATGAAAAAATCATTTAAAATGAAATTATCACAAGAACAAACTTACAAACGCAAGTATAGAAATAAATGATTTGGGGTAGTCCAATTATTATTTGTGTTCAAGAAACGAATTCCCATGAGCAGAGGGTAAAATGAAAGATTGACTGATTAACTTACAGACATATTACACTGAGATAAAATGATGTGCAGTTGCGAACTATCAAAAGTATAGTTAATACAGTTTGATTGAGCGTTAAACTACAATATAGTAGAACACTTGAACAAGTACAATTATTTTGAAAATAAATAGATATAGTAAAAAGACCACGAATGTACAGATATTTCATCTGTCAATAGTAGTATTTAAATAATACTACTTATTTATTTTGCGATTAAATTTAATAATTACCAATTATACCAACTAAAATAAAATATCATAAATAAAACCTTAAGCTGATGAATTGACAAGGACAAGTTTCCAAAACGGCAAGGTGTAAATAAATTTGTAAATATTATGTTACTAAAATAGAATTTATGGTAGACAGATATCAATAGAATCATGTTATTATAAAAATTATAATTACTAGTAAACTAGTAATTATATAAGTAGTTAATAGATTCTAATATGTTTTTCTAAAATTGTAATGTAAGTCAAGGTGCTTTGTAAATTTTAATAATTGTTATAAATAGTATTATATTAGAACTAGACATATGACTTTTTAAGGTTATTAAACAATTTTCTCCAATATATACTATTATTTTATCTATCTATATATATATATATATATATATATATATANTATTTTGAAAAATTCTTGTAAAGAGTAATTTTTTTTGCAAAGATATATTTTTAAAACCCCAGAGAAAACCCCTTGTTGCTGTATTGTATGCTGTAACTTTGTGAAATGAAAATATATATTTTTGGTTGAAACATACATAAATTAATAAATTGCTGTTCAAAAGTGTATACATGAAATTAGTACGTGCAGCAGCTAGAAAATAATCAATAAACTAATTTATAATTACCCGTTAAACCAACACTTAATTAACAAGCCAAACCGGTAATGTTTTAATAA